CAGCATTATTTAAGGTAGTAAATGAGGTATAGAACGTGCTCTGCACACAGGGTTAGTAATAATGAGAGCTCTTATCCTACCTCCTATCAAAACAGACTACGGGGACTTCTGTGGTGGTCCAGTGATTGAGGTTCCTGGCTCCCTATGCAGGTGTTGGGGGGTTGTTCCATCTCTGGTTGGGGAACTAAGATCCCACATTCCTCACAGTGTGGCAAAAAAAAGCAACAAAACAAAACAAACAAACCAACAACAAGAACAACAAAACAGACTATGAAGCTATGAAAACCAAAACAGTGTAACCTGGCACAGCAAAGTATCTTACAGGTTGTAAGGATTCATTAAAATGGTCCACTCTGGCCCAGAGTACTAGGTTCAATAGATTAGCATCCTTATTGCCCAATTATAGACTTTTTCTTACCCTGAGCCCTTGGGGAAAGTGAATTCCCTTTTCTGGACCTCTTAGCGTCCCCTCTAAGAAATAGGGACTAGCACTCGTGGGCTAATGCACAGCTTGATTTTTCTGGCCTCTGATTTGCTCAGCACAGCGCCCGGCACTTGTTAGAGGCTCCAGTAGAGGGCGCCATTGAAGCTTTTATTGGGATTTAAGACACTACTGTAAAGAGGGGAAAGTAAGCAGACCTTTCTCACACCTTCCCGCAGCTGAGTGCACGGTAATGGGTATCCCCAGTGTCTCCACCAACCTCTCCGGGTTCGGCTGCTTCATGGAGGAACACATCGCAGACCCCTCAGCTTACGGTCAGCGTCCGGACTGAGAGCCGAAATTCTTGAATACTGGGAAAGAGGGGCGTCCACTTGGTCCTCTTGGGCCACTAAGAGGAGGGAGTGGACTCCTTAGTGCCGGTGGGAGGGAGGCCTCCCGGTGCTCGCAGAGTCCCAGAGAGAATGAAGGTTTCAGTCTGTTCTCTGAGACCCCCGTCCTGGCCCCGACAGGCATCTACATTCTGGACCGGCGATTCCGCAGCCTGGATGATTCCTGCTCGCAGCTCACCTCCTTCCTCTACAGCTTCTGCCAGCAGAGCCGAAGGCAGCGCATTATCCAGCGGAACCGAACGGAGCGCCTCTCTGACCTTCTGGACTGGAAATACCTAGGCCGGGTATAACTCCCCTCCCTGTCCTCTGCCGGTGAATCAGTCACTTCCGACTCTGGGTGTCTGATTCCCCAAGCCTCGAAAGCTAGCACAAAGGGCACGCTCTCTTTTTTGTAACGCTTGCTGTCCTTTTAAGAAACTAACGTCCAGAAGATACCTGGGTTGGAAGTTCTCTATTTGCATAGGGTGTGGCCAAAGAGATACCTGATTGGAGAATCCCACCTCTTAGTGGGTGTGGCTCAGAGGCTGTCCATTCATAGCCCTGCTTATCTACATAAGAGGTGGAGCCTCGGACTTCGTTGGCCAACTGGAAATTGCCCGGGGGTGTGCTTATCTGATTAAAGGTGTAGCCAGGACTTGCCCTGTCGCCAAATCTCGGGGCGCGGGGTCTGCTTCTGCCCTCTGATGCCTACCCCCTTCTTTCCCTCCAACAAGTACTACATGTCAGCGCGCCACATGGCGCTGGCCAAGGCCTTTCCAGAATACTTCACCTACGAGCCTCACGAGGCTGACGCGGTAAGTGGATCCAAAGGTCCCTCTAGTGGGCCAGGAGCTAGAAAGGGGGTGGGACGAGGTGTCCCTCCTGGAGTCACAAGGCATCAGGGACGTTGGACGCCCAGGCTGGCTGTAGGGGGCCTCTGCTCACTCTGCGGTTTGTGCCCACACCTCCGTATACAGACCCAGGGCTACCGCTACCCACGGCCAGCCTCAGTGCCACCATCACCTTCGCTGTCGCGACACTCCAGCCCACACCAGAGTGAGGATGAGGAGGAACCCCGGGACTTACCACCGGATGAAGATGGCGAGCGCTACGACGAGGACGAGGAGGCCGCCAAGGACCGGCGCAACATCCGCGCGCCCGAGTGGCCGCGCCGCGCCTCCTGCACCTCTTCCACCGGGAGCAAGCGCGGGTCGGTGGACACGGCGCCCTCCAGCTCACTCAGCACCCCCAGCGAACCCCTTAGCCCCGCCAGCTCCCTGGGCGAGGAACGCAACTAAATCCCCAACCCCACACTACCCCTTCCCGCGCCTGCCCCGCCAACCCTGCCTCCCTTATCCAGAGAATGGATGTGGAATGGCGCTGTCCGAAAACTTCACTCAAGATCTTCAACCCTCTGTGGGGTCCACAGCCCCACCTCCTCCGCCATATACTCCAGCCCCTCTAGCCCCGCTCTTGGAATCCCCAACACTCCAGTATCCACAACACTGTGCCTTTCTTGTGCCCTGGAGTCCCCCCGGGCCGTCCCAGAGGCCAGGGATCTGCCATTGCCCTGCCGTGGTGCCAGAGGTTTTCAGAAACCTGCTCTGTTGCCTTTTATGCTGGGGCTCCTAGAAACCCGTGTGCTTACTAATTCTACAGTATACAGAGTCTGCCATGTGCAGGCCTGGCCAGGGCGCCACGGAGCACTGGAAACCACGTGGCGTCCCTGAGAATGAGACAATCAAGTCCAGAGCTGGCGCCCTTTCAGGGACTTCACTGAGTGCAGGTCCTCTATTTCAACTCCAGAACTCGGGCTCCAGGCCAGTGCACTCCTGTTTACTCTGACGGAGCCCTCCCTGGGGTGTCCAACTCTTCCTGGAGGATCCCTCCACCCCAACTCCCTTCTTCCTCTGCACTTTGGCCAAGCAAGTGGGGGCAGAACCACTTGTCTTCTCATTCCTACTGGAGAACACCGTCTTGGTCTAGATGCCTTTCTGGCCTTTTCTGGACCAGACCCTACTCCTCCTCCCCTGAATCTGAATTCCCCCATATCTCTAGACTCCTGTGGCCTCCAGGGAATCCCTCTGCTGAGGACAACTGACTGTCTTCTCCTGCACCCTCCCCCAAACAACCCCCAACCGCTAGACCCATCATGAAACCACTGGGTTCTAAGTCTCAGCTGCTGATTCTAGAACCTTGCCTCTGTGCTGCATCCTGGTCCCATCCCCCCAATCTAGAACTCAGCCCACTGGATTCTAGAACCTCCATATTTACCTCACTTCGAGGCTCTTCCATCCCCAAGCTGTGCCCTGCCCCCAGCTTTGGTGAAAGGGAGGGGCCCCCTCACGTGTGCTGTGCTGTGTCTGCTGCACTTGGTTTGCAGTTGGGAGGGGAAAGCAGAAGGGGTGTGATTGAAGTGTGTCCAGAGATGAAAAAATACATATATATTTAAGAATCTCAGGTCTAATCTGACGTGAGGGCGTGGTGGACCTGAATCCTGGCCCCGCCTTCCTCCCCCCACCCTCCTGCTCCTCTTTACTCCGATTCCTCCCCCTGCCCATGGCTGGGTTCCCGTTCCCTTGTCTCACTCTACTGTCTTAGAGATTTGGCTTGCTATTGGATTCCAGTGTTATTTCAAAGGCGCCTCTCTTTGTTTTAGACTTGACCTTAAGTGGCAAAGTTGGCTCAAGCTCTTTGGCAGAAAGGGGCTGTCTCTGGGAAAAGGACCTGCAGGGTAGCCATGAGCCGTATGTGGCTATTTAAATTACTCAGTAGCACTAGTCATATGCAAGGGTGGCCACATGTGGCCTATGGCTACCCCATTGGACAGCACAGATGGAGTACATTTCCATCATTGCAAAAAGTTCTGTTGGACAGCACTAGTTCAGCCCATGTTTCTACTAGGGACTCTGGCCTCTGCACTTTGGCCTTACTGTCCCCCTGGATGGCTATTTGTGGGAAAAAAACTCAGTTCTAATCTTCCCTAGGCTACATGTGCATCTCCAAACCAATCGCTTTTCAGGGGAAAGCTCTGATTGTTTGAATTTGGACGTGTTATCTTCCTTCTGTTAGCCACTGTTTGCACCATACACCAGAAGTCCCCTCCCCCACCAGAATTACCAGAAAGGGCATGGTGCTTGTCTACCAAAAACAGGATGGGGGTAGGGGTCAGCTTTTGTCCCCCTTCCCCCACACCCCGCCCCCACTTGCACATAGCAGCTGCCTGTTAAGTCATCTTCAAGCTTCTGTTCCCATTTGGATAATTTCATAGTGCTGAGCCCTGAACCCTGGCTCAGTACCTGTTTCGCATGATGTGCTCTCAGCTGCTCAGACCCATGGGCCGGATTCTACCCATTATGTGCCTTGAATTCTACACAAACAGCCTTTGGAGGTCAGATCTGGGTGTGCATCCTGATTACTATGGGTAATTTACACAGTAATTGTCTCAATCACCCACATAAAGGAGCTGGCAACTCTAATACTGAGCCTCCCAGAATTGAGCCACAGACAGTAACTTTCAGAGCTTGGCAAGTGCCTGGCAACATAACTCATCTGAACCAGTTTCTAGTTACTGATTAACAGCTGTCTGCTTCCAGTTACCAACCCCAGGTTTTACCAGATTCTCCCTGGAGTCTGGGCTCTACCATTTTAGGAAGAGCAGTTAACAGCATGGTGAAGCAGAGAACCCACTACTGCAACACTCACAGGTGTTATGTCTTAGAACAGTAAACAGAATCAACTCCTTTCTCCTTGCCAGCCCAGTCCAGCCAGCTATGTAAAAAGAGACCCCACCTTTTCCCCACCCTGATACAGACACAAAACCAGGATGTGCTGCAAAAAGCTTTATTGTTTCCATTTGGTCCAAGGCTTGAAAGAGGGCTCCAGGATGTTAAAAAGCTGCCTAGTAGCTGCAGAGAGGGGCTTCAGGCAGCCCTGATGTTAGGTGGGTTCTTCAAAGGCCACTGGTCTCCAGAAGCTCCTAGTCGAAAAAAAAAAAAAAAAAAAAAGCCCAAGAGCGTGTATCTTTCATCCTCAGTATCCTACAAACTACACGTCCCAAGACACAACACGCTGCGTCCTGGACCGCCACGTCTTGAGTGAACGGCTGCACTGCCATTTCCAGCCACAACAAACAATCCACACAAGACTGAACTCGGCCTCCCAAGAGCCTATGCGGTACCCAAACCGCTACAGTCAAGGGGTCTCTAGCGAAGGGGTTGTTGGGAGATGTAGTCCGCTGCCCACACACTATTTACCTGCACGTCCAGGAAGAGGGCGCGGCCGCCACGCTGGTTTTGCAGTTTCAAGAGACGCTCCGCGCCCTCGCGCTTCTCCTTGGCCAATTCGCGAAAAAAGTGACCCACACCCTCCAGAGCCACATCGTCGCGGTCGAAATAGAAGCCCTGCAGGAAGAGATGGCGGGAACAATGGTAAGCAGGAGGCGAGGCCAGGCAACCGGACTCTGCACTATCGAAGGGGACAAAGAAGGCCAGCGCGTGCGCAGAGGGCCGGAGGTGCGCAGCTGAGGGAAACTTGGGCTGGGGGCGTCTTGGGGAACCTCACCAGAGAGAGGTAGGTGTAGGAGGCCCGCAGTTGCATGTTAACCAGGCGGTTGACGGCGGCCTCCACCTCGGTAGAATAATTCTGACGAATCTGGGAGCTCATGATTGGTCGGTAGTAAGGAGTTAAAAAATGGTGGCTGGTCCCGGTGATCGCGGACAGCTGAGTGGCTGACTCCGGAGATTGCGACTGGAAAAAAGGTTGGAGGGTAGTCGGAGGCTGGAGCAAGGGGCGTCCCTGGGTCTGTTCCGTCCAAGCACTGTTGAAGCAAGAGACAGATCCGCGGGGCCGCCGAGCGCACTTCAAAAGCCGATGGGCAAGGCGGCTTCTTTTATAGCGCGCGGGCCCTCGGAAGTGGGGCGGTCAGGGAGAGCGGTGGGCCAATCTGCGGTGGCGGGAGGCGGGAACTGGTGCCCGCGAGTGACCAATCAGGAGCAGATGGAGCTTCCAGCTCCCCGCCCCGAGGTGGGAGAGTCATGTGCCTGTACCAGAAGGGAGTTGTGAAATGGGATATGGGGGCTGTGGGTTTTCGCATTATGCAAGGGCTTTGGGGCTAATTCTGGGAAGCCAAGGGATTCTGGAGGGGTCTCGCTGATAGGTGAACGATTAATGAAGACACTGGGAGCCCTGCAAAGTAATGATCCCTGGATCCTCCAGGGTGTCTCAGGAAAGTAAGCTGGATTCTGGCGTTGTGTCAGAGCATGGACGTTACTGGAACCCTGGGGGTTCCTTAGAGGTGCGGAAACCTCCAGAAGACTGGCATTTGCTCTGGGAGATAAGAGGGTCCCCGGAGCCGTGAGAAGTTTGGAAAATTGTGAGATGATATTTCTGGGAACCCCGAGGGCCTGGAGCCTTGGGGTTCAAAAGTCCGGGTGGGGGGAGTTTCTGCAGCTTTAGAGTTCAGTGGAAGTCCCTATTTTTTTGGAAACTTCCTGGGGAAGGTCTTTAGACCCTGGAGGTGATCTGCAAGATTAAGAAGACAGCTGTAGAGCCCTGGGGTTCAGCCCCAGAGTGGGGGGGGGGAATGTTTCTGGAAGCCTTGTAAGGGCTTTTTAAGGTCAGGAGTCTTGGAGAATCTTTTGGAGTCCTGGGAAGATAGTCTGGGCCACTTGGAATACCTAGGGTCTATTTTAGGAGCCTCTCTTTTTTTTTTCTGGGAACTGAGTTTGGGAGGAGGTGAACTGGAACTTTGTGGGGGGGTCTCTGAGACTGGATTTCCTGAAGATTATTTTGAAGGCAGCCAGAAACTGAAAATTCTTTTTTGGCTCTGAAGTAACCTCTCTGAAGTTGTCCCTGTCTTGCCTGACACATTCTTCAAGATCACAGAGAAGCCCTGGTTCCCGGGTAAACAAGTAGGGCCTGGGGACCTGTGGTTGGATGTCTGTCTTCAACCAATGGATGTTTTTAAAGTGTATCTGGGCCAGGCTAGTGCCTGTGTGGCAGATCTGGTTCACAACAGGACTCTGCCCTCAAGGAGCTCCCCGTTGTTGGGGGGAAAGGAGAAACAAAGAATTTGACCCTCTGTAAGTGCCCTAATGGAGGCAGTTGGCAGGGGCTGGGGCAGAAAGCTGAGGCCGCAGGGGTGTTGGGGGCAGAGGTCAGGGCCCCTCCTTGCAGAGAAGTTTCTCCAAGCAGCTTGGGCAGAGTACCCCCTGATCAGGGGGAGGCCAGCCAGGCTGGTATCTGGGGTCCTCACGGGGTGTCTTGGCCCAGAGCCAGGCTAGCAGCCGCGCTGAGTCATGCTGAACTCAGCTCCGGAAGGGGCTCCGGCGGTGGGGGTGGGAGGGGCGGGTGAGGCCCGCTCACTGACCTCATCTCCTGGGGGGTGGACTGCAGTCTGGCTGGGACCCGGGGAACTGGGCCTTGCTGGGCCCCAAGTCTGGCCGCCTCCCCCAGGGTGCTGCCCTGAGTGCTTTGTCTCTGAGTCTTACTGTCTTTTTAGTTCCCTTGATGGTTTCCCTGGGCTCCTGCCTGTGGCCATATTGTCCCCTCTCTCTGGGCGGTGACTCAGTCTCCCCTCACAGCTACTTTATCAGACCTCCATCTCGCCCCTCTCTGGGTGTCTCTGGGGAAAGCCTGTGGGGGAGGGGCAGTTGCCCCAGGCACACAGTCACAATGGGGCCTGAGTTATTCATTCACCAAATTGCATACCTCAGCCCAAAGACCTTTAGTCTTGGGCTAAAGGAGCAGTGACCTGGAAAGTGCTCCCAGGTGGAGGGAGAGGAAGGGCGTGATAAAGGTGACCTGAAGTAGGGCTGTTGGAGAGGGATCAGGGGATGAGGGGAGACAGGAGACCCAGGGAGACAGAGACAGGGGGTCAGAGAAAGGCAAAGACACAGAGGGGGACAGAGAGGTGACAACCAACTGTGGCTATCCCAGTGACCTTATTCTCCATAATCCCCTTTTCAGAGTCCCCTTCTTTTTAAAAATTTTATTCGTTTATTTTGGCTGTGCTGGGTCTCCCTGGCTGCATGTGGGCTTTCTCAAGCTGTGGCAAGTGGAGGCTACTCTAGTTGTGTGTAGGCATCTCACTGTGGTAACTTCTCTGGGGAGAACGGGCTCTAGAGCGCAGGTTTGAGTAGTTGCGGCTCACGGGTTTAGTTGCCCCGTGGCATGTGGAATTTTCCCAGAGCAGGGATCGGAACCCACGTTCCCTGCATTGGCTGGTGGAGTCTTAACCTCTGGACCACGAGAGAAGTCCTTTTAAAAGAAAAATAATTGCTTGGCTGCACCAGGTCTTAGTTGAGGACATAGGATCTTTGTTTCAGCAGGAGGGATCTTTTAGTTTGGGATCTATTAATAGTTCCCTGATCAAGGATTGAACCTAAGCCCCCTGCACTGGGGGCACAGAGCCTTAACCACTAGCGGACCAGTGGCTCTTCCCAAGCTCAGCATCTTCCCAAAGGCTGGCTCTGGTTCTGAAGGCATAGGGCCAGACCCCAGACTCCTCCCCCCAAAACCTGTCAATCTCTGCTCGTGTCCCTCCTCCACCCAGACAATTCTTGCTCAGGCCTCCTCCAGAGTCTCCCTTGGACCCTCTCCAGCCTCCTCAGCCATCCGACATCCAGGGGCTTCCCCAAAAGGCCCGTGCCCTACCCCTGTTCTCCTAGTCCTCGTGAAGTCTGCACACCCGCTTCTTCCCCGTTTCCCCTCCTCAGCAAATATACAACTTCCTGTAGTCCCATGTGGTGGAAGCTTCCGGGCCCTCCCTAGTTCCTGGGGTTCAGGAGGCCTGCTTTGCACCCTGCTGCCCTAACCTCCACAACCGCCACCCCCCGCCCCAGCCTCTGTCAGGCTGGGGCCTGGCCCAGTGCTGCCTCCAACACAACACCCTGGGCTGTGACAAGGACAAGGGTGATTCAAGTCGCCTCGGTTCCCCTCAGGACTGTGGGCTCCTTGAGGGCAGAGCCACGATTTAACTTGCCACTGACCCACAGAGGGCACTAGTTACCCTCAGAAAAAGATGGGTCAGTGCATGAAGCCTGGTGTCCTGCAACAGCCAGGAAGCGGGCCCAGTGACTCAGACTCCGAAGTGTGGTCCGAAAGAGGTTTATTGCACCCACCCTCGCAAGACCACTCCTCCCTACCCTGCCCCACCCCAATAATTACAAAAGTAAGAAAAACTCCCATGGCCCCCAAATCCACCACCCCCCCCCCTTGAAAAATGCCATAATTTATGCAGAAAAAGTCCAAGGCAGTTGATGGCTTCAGCCCATCTTCTTCCAGATGGTGAGTGAGGCAGTGAGCACTCCAGCCACAAAGATGGTCACTGTCTGCCACGTGGGTGTCCCAAAGTAGGAGAGAAGGCCGTCCTGGGGACAGGAACAGCAGGCACTTCAGCGACTCAGCCAAGGGGCAGCCCCTGGGCCAGGACATGAAGGGTCAGGGAGGGGTCAGAGGGCATGAGTAGGGGCAAGGGCCTATGAGTGGGGGAGTTAAAGGATTATCATAGAACTTGAGAGATTCCAGAGGAATTGGAGGGAGGCACCAGGGAGGGCAGCAAGGCATCAGGTCAGGGGTCACTAGGAGGTCAGAGGTCATGAGGAGGCCAAGGGTCATGAAGAGGTTATTGGGCACCCTGTGGGGTTGATACGACCCCAAAATGGGGGAGGGGGCAATCCTATGGTGGGCACAGGAAGGTCCAGGGGCCCAAGAGGAGTGGGGGGATGGGGTAGGGTTAGAGGTCTCACCCAACCACCCTGGTCCTGGATCCAGCCCAGCAGCCGCTCTCGAAGGAAGTCCAATGTCCAGCCCATGATGGTCCTGATCAACTCGGGCACCTTGGTGCACAGGGCCTGTGGGAAGTGGGGTGGGCCTCAGGGACTGAGCCTTGTCCCTACTGCCTGGGGCGATTGGCCCCCAGCCTCCATTCTCACACTCTGTCTCCCTCCTGCCCTTCTGCAGTTTCTTTTCCACTCTCAGTCAGAATAAGCCTCATAAACTGCAATGTGGATCTCGTCCCTGTCAACTGCCCTGTTCACAAACCATATTACGGCTCCCTGGTACCTCGGATGAAAAATCAAAAGCACACCTTGGCCCTCAAGGCCCTGTGTGATGGCTCTGACTTGATCACATTCCAGTTTTCCTCTTGGTTTCTGCACCTTATTGCCCTTCTTCCACATCTTTATTCCCACCAAATTCTTCACGTGCTTCAGGACCTTGGCACATGCTGAATCTTCTGCCTCAGCAGGCCTCAACCTTTTCCAGTCACCCGTCAAAGCTCAGGTTTGATGTCACTTCCCCAGAGAGGGCTTTCTGATCTTCAGGCCAGGTAAGGCCTGAGACCCTCCATACCCATGACCTACTCTTCACCTTCCTTAGCTTTCCTTCTCATCCTTTATCTCACTGCTTCTCACCTGTTGTCCCCAGCTCCATATAAGCCCTCCCACCACCCTGACTGCTGTCCCTCTCACCTCTTACATTCAAGCCCCATCAGCTCAATCTTGCAAACACATTAAGGAATCTACTTCCCCACTGCCATTGCTGCCACCTCAGTTACCCATTCACCAGAACTATTATAGGTACCCCTCGTCAGCTTTCCAGTTTTTGTCTTTGTGCCTCAGGATCCCTTTTTCTACCCACAATGGCCAAAATAATTTACTGGGCCTCCCCTCCCCCAATATTTTATCATGAGAATCTTTAGAGAAACCAAAAGAATTTTACAGTCAACAAGCATATACACACAACCTAGATTCTACAATTAACATTTTGCTGTCCTTGCTAGACAGAGGATGAGATGGTTAGATGGCATCACTGACTCAATGGACATGAGTTTGAGCAAACTCCGGGAGACAGTGAAGGACAGGGAAGCCTGGCGTGCTTCAGTCCGTGGGGTCACAAAGAGTTGGACACGACTTAGCGATTGAACAACAACAATCCTTGCTAGAAAAATCTTTTCTGCTTATAAATCGGGTCACCTCACTCTTGTTTAAAACCAGCCAATCACTCTTGCTACACTCAAGAGTAAAGCTGGCTGGTCTTTACAGAGGCCCACAAGACCCCTTGCAATCTGTCCTCATCACTCACCTTCTCCCTCTCCTCACTCTATTCTAGTCACGTGGGCCTCCTCATTGCCTTCAACACACCAGGCTTGGTGCTACCTCAGGTCCTTTGCATGTGCTGTGCCCTCTACCAGATACATTTTTCGCCATTTTTATATACATCACTGCATCTTTCTTGTCATTCCATCTTAGGCTTTAATGTTACCTCCTCTGAGAAGTGGTCTTGTGGCTCCTTTGCACAATCATGTCACCAGAGTTTACTTTGATCAGCACTCATCATACAACATGGGCTCCCTGAGAGCAGGGACCTAACCTAGTTCTGTTCTGTGTCCTGGGTGCCAAGTACAGGTCGCACACATCATAAGCCCAATAAATGTTTGTTGAATGTAATGTGTATGTCTGTGTGGGTCGCTCAGTTATGTCCGACTCTTTGCGACTCCGCAGACTATAGCTGGCCAGGCTCTTCTGTCTATGGAATTCTCTAAGCAAGAATATTGGAGTGGGTTGCCATTTCCTTTTCTAGGGGATCTTTCTGACCCAGGGATTGAACCTCGGTCTCCTGCATTAGCAGGCAGATTCTTTACCATCTGAGCCACTAGGGAAGCCTGTGCTGAGTGAATAAATACATGAATGAAAAAGCTGATGAGTGGCCCATAGCTGACTCTCTCCATTCCCTCTGTGGTTCCTGGGCTGTCCCAAGGGTTGACCTCCTGACTCCCAGGTCTTCATAGGCCTGAAGGGAGCCTCCCTGGGCTCAGGGCCCTGCAGCTGCCCACCTTGAGCACCAGTTTGCTGGCAAAGTAGAAAAGGGCGACAACCCGGCCCCAGTTGAAGTTGCCGTCAGAAAACATTTCAGCTGCCACTCGGAAAAAGACCTCTCGGGGAGAGTCTGTGTCCACGGCTGCAATCATCCTGCAAGAGAGAGGAGAGCCAGTGTTGGGGAGGGAGGATCAGGCACAGTGTGGCAACTCTGGTGTCCACCCCAAACCAAAGATAAAACCCGAGGCCCAAGCCAGGCTGAAATCAAAAGAGGCCATCATAGGGGAAAGCCACAAGATAGAAACTGGGGGAAAAGACTCCATGAAGGAGAGTTTCAAGATCCCAGGGCATGGAAGGCTGGGAGTCCAGAGTGCTGTTGAGTGATGGGGCCCTGGACCTCTGGGTCTGAAGGAAAAGGGGGCAGTGGGGCTGGACTCCAGTCTCCCAGTGGAAGTGGGGGTTGGGAGCTGGGAATCCTGGGTTCTGAGAGAGAACGGGCCGAGTGGCTGGATTTCTAGGTCCCAGGGGCTACACCTCTGCAGCTCCATGTTACTGTCCAATTCATCTCCAATGCGCTTGAGACACTCGCTCAGTTTCTTGGTGGATGCGTCCTGGGGCGCCTGCTCCAAGCCCAGCTCCGGTGTCTCTCCCCCCATTCGCCCTGCTCGGTCCTGGATGAAACTAGAGTGGGAACGAAGTTGTGGGGATGCAGAATCAGAATGGGGCCTCATTCCTCAAATCCGTTCCGCAATAATCAGACCTCAAACTCACCCCTGAAGCAAAAGGGCCCCTGTCTTCATGATCTGCTCAGAGCTGGTGGGCCCTAGAGGAGAAAGGAGGGAAGAGGTGCCTGGACTCTTGGGTCCTAGGGGAATCCAAGGAACTGGAGTGGCTCCTGATCTCTGGGGGAGGACAACGCTAGGGGGCTCTGCATTTCTGGGTCCCTCATAGATAAAGTGAAGTGGGGGCCCAGGCAACTGAATCCCCGATGAAGAAAGAGGCAGGGGTCCTGGGCCTGTTATCCTTCATTCTTCCCGGGGCGGGGGGAGGAGGCTGAGGGAACACTTCACGGGTCCAGACCCCCTGGCCTGAGGCGACTGAGGGGAGACCCGCCCCTCCCACCAGGAAGTGGTGCCGGCGACAAGCCCGGGCCTGCCCCCGGGGCTTAGATTATGTGGTTCTCCCGCTCCTTGGGGGTCAGAGAGCAGCAGGAGGAAAGGGATCGGGACGCTGAGGCCGGAGAGCCGGGGACCCCCAGGGAGGGAGTGGGTGGAGGCTGGCAGTGCCGGACCCGGGAGTTTCTATGCCGGAGTGCTTGGCGATCGCACGGCCCCACACCGGCAGGAGGGATCGTGGGGTCGGTCGGCTGGGGGCTCGCCCTCCCCCCGCCCGTCTGCCTCCCGCCTCACCCCCGCCTCTGGGTTGCTCCCCGGACCCGTCCATCACCGCCGCTCCCGCCGCCGCCTCTCGCCGGGTCCGCCCGGGCGGCCGCAGCACGCCCCTGGTCACGTGAGCGCCCCGCTGAGCGTACGTCCTCTCACGTGACCGCCCCTCAAAATGGCCGCCGCGCGCCTCTGCCCCGCAGGGCTGCGCGCAGTCCGGACCGCACCTGCCTCACCTGCTCTTGGAGGGCTCGGCACCTGTCACGTGACTATCCAGTCTGCGTTTCCCTTTAGGAACTGGTCGTGGCGCCGTTCTGCCGGCTGAGCAGTGAGTCGCAGCTGTAACTTTTCTTCATTCCTGCCGTATTTTCAAAAGTTTCAGGGGGGACTCGAGCCCTTCGCAGGAGAGAAGGAATATCAGAAGTCAAAAATAGCATTTCTTGAGGCAGGACATTCCAGATGACTAACGTCTATGAATGTTTATGTGTGTGTGGAAAAAAAAAAAAAGGAAATTGAAGTTCAAAAAGTCATAGATTGGCAGGGTGTGGACAGAGAGGGACCCCAAGAGGGGCTCCTGGGGTTATAGAAATGTGCTATACTTACTTGAGATGGTGCTGTGCTGTGTTCAGTGGTGTCCCATTCTTTGGGACCTCCTGGCAGACTCCTCTGTCCATGGGATTTCCCAGGTGAGAATACGGGAGTAGTTCGCTATTTCCTTCTCCGGGGTTTTTTCCCAGCCCAGGGACTGAACCTGCATCTCTTGTGTCTCCCGCATTGGCAGGCAGATTCTTTACCACTGAGCCACTTGGGAGGCCCATGCACATATTTAAAAATTCCTTGATCTCTACACATAAGACATGCACTTTAATGTATGGAAATGATTATATCTCCTTGTAAAAAGAAAATAGTAAGAAGAAAAAAGAACTGGGATTAGAAAAATCGGCTGGGTCAGATGATGAATGGTTTAGCCTATAAGAGAAGGGAATCTAAAAAACAAGAGAGAGAGAAGGGAATCTATTTCCCAGGGGTGCCTGGGAGCCATGGAAATTGAAGATTATAGTGTCTTAGTCCATCAGCCTAACAACACCAGTTTATTGACCAGTTTATTGAACATCAATAAAGTTTATTGACCCATGAAGATGATGGAGATGACACAGCAGACCAATCATGGAGCATCTTGACAGAGGAAAAGGTAGAGTTATTATTGGATTTGGAGGAAATGTAGAGTTTAGGTGATGACTATATGATAGGTTCAAAGCCAAGCAGTTGGTGGACTGTGGAAGGAACCAGGGTTCTGTATCCTTGCAAACTACAAGATTAATGTGGGTGTGGACTGTTGGGTCCAGAAAGCCTTTGCTCTGCTCTTGAGTTGGAAATTGAAGCTGCTACTCTGTATCCAACAAGTTAGATCCCACAGGCAAGAGTGGAATGTTGCATTTTTACTGATAGAATTTTTAACGCTCCATGATTTTCGAGAACAAAGTTTCTCTGTGAGTAAGAAAGCATGTCCCTTGCCCCCCCCCCAAAAAAAAAGAAAGCATGTCCTTGGGAGAAATAGTGTTTCCTATTAATTTAGAAATTGACTTTATTTATGTGTTATTCCAGCCCAATGAATTAGCCCTCCTTCCATCCCAATTACAGAAAAGGAAGAAAGGGCTTTTAATGCAGCCACAGATGTCTAAACAGTACAACTGTTAATTGGTTGGGGGAGGGGGAATCTTTGTGATAGCTCTGAAGTCAAAATTGTTTACAATAATAAAGATGCTATATCAGAACTTTGAAGCCCAACTCCACAATGGGCCCCCAATGAGACCTACAGGTATTCACGCCCATGTGTAGTTCCCTCCCATACTGAACAGGCTGACAGTATGACTAATAGGATATTGTGGAAATGACAAAGTGTAACTTTCAAGGTTAGGTCATAAAAGTCACCGCAGGTTCTGCCTGGCTCTCTCTTGGATCATTTGCTTTATTAGAGGAAGCAGCTGCCATGTTGTAAGGACATTCAAGCAATCATCCTCTGGAGAAACAATGTGGAGGAACCAGGTCCTCCAGCCATGGGAATGAGCGACTTTGGAAGCACATCCTCCAGCCCCAGTCAAGCCTTCCGATGACAGCTGTCCCCACCAACATCCTGATTGCTACCTCATGGGAGATCCTAGGCCAGAACCACCCACCTAAGCCACTCAATGGATTGCCAACCCTCAGAAACTGTGTGAGACAATAAACATTTATTGTTGCTTTAAGTTGCTAGGTTTGAGGATAATCAGTTACACAACAGCAGATAACTAATACATATAGGATAGTGAAAGTGAAGTCACTCAGTCGTGTCCAACTCTTTGCAACCCCGTGACTCCTCCTCCATGGGATTCTCCAGGCAAGAATACTGGAGTGGGTTGCCATTTCCTTCTCCAGGGGATCTTCTCGACCCAGGGATTGAACCAAGGTCTCCTGCATTGCAGGCAGATGCTTTAACCTCTAAGCCACATCTAAGATAAGTACAGCCTATTTACAGATGAGGAAAACAGAGCCTGGAGAAGGAGATGGATTTGCCAAAATTGTCCAGTTCTTGTGGGTGCTGTCTCAGGTCAACTGTGTCACTTAGACAGGGCTTTCTTTTCTGTTTTTTGGTTCTTTTTTTTTTACCTTAATTTTTTTTATATTGTCATTTGCTCTTTCATTTTTGATGCCTTTTACAAAATATTGATTTATTTGGTGTGCCGGGCCTTAGTGGTGGTACGCAAGATCTTCGGTCTTCTTGTGGTATGTAGGATCTTTCATTGCAGCATGTGGGTCCAGTTCCCTGACCAGGGATTGAACCTGGGACGCCTGCGTTGTGAGTGCGGAATCTGAGTCACTGGGCCACCAGGGAAGTCCTTCAGTAAATTTTAATAATAAATTATAACAGAGGACTTCCCTGGTTGTCCAGTGGTTAAGAATCCACCTGCCAACGCAGGGGACATGCGTTCCATCCCTGGTCCGGAAAGATTATATATGTGACAGAGTAACTAGGCCTATCATCCTGTACTCTAGAGCCAGGAGTGCTGAGCCCACGTGCCACAGCTGCTGAAGCCTGAGTGCACAAGAGCCTTTGCTTCACAAGAAAAGCCACCACAACCAGAAGCCCATGCGGCGTAACTACACAGAGGAGGCCCCACTCACCGCAAGTAGAGAAAGCCTGAGTGCAGCAACAGAGACCCAGCACAGCCAAAAATAGAATAAATAAGGAAATAAAAAATTTTAAACAGCTTAGAAAAGAACATGAAAAAGAATACACACACACACACATATATATATGGATATGGATATGGATATGTATGACTGAATGGCAGAAGTAGTGACAGATTTCCTCTTCGTGGTCTCTAAAATCACCGTGCATGGTGACTGCGGCCATGAAATCAGAAGACTATTGCTTCTTGGCAGGAAAGCTACGACAAACCTAGACAGTGTGTTGAAAAGCAGTGACACTACTCTGCCGACAAAGGTCCATATAGTCAAGGCTATGGTCTTCCCAGTGGTCACGTGCGGTTGTGAGAGCTGGACCGTAAAGAAGGCTGAGTGCCGAAGAATTGATGCCTTCGAACTGTAGTTCTGGAGAAGACTCTGGAGGGTCCCTTGGAAAGGAATGAGATAAAACCAGTCAATCTTAAGGGAAATCAACCCTGAATACTCACTGGAAGGACTGATGCTATTTTGGGCACCTGATGTGAAGAGCCGGCTCATTGGAAAAGTCCCTGATGCTGGGAAAGATTGAGGGCAGAAGCAAAAGCGGGTGTCAGAGGATGAGATGGCTGGATGGCATCACCGATGCAATGGACATGAACTTGGGCAAACTTTGGGAGACAGTGAGGGACAGGGAACCTGGCATGCTGCAGTCCACGGAGTCACAAAGTGTCGAACACGACTGGGTGACTGAACAACGTGACTGAATTACTTTGCTATACACTTGAGAGTCCTGGTGGTTCAGTGGTAAAGAATTCACCTGCCAAGCAGGAGACGCAGGTTTGATCCCTGTGTTGGGACGATCCCCTCGAGAAGGAAATGGCAATCCACTCCAGTATTCTTGCCTGGGAAATGCCATGGACAGTGGAGCCTGGCTGGCTACAGTCTACGGGGGCACAAAAGAGTCGGATAGGAGTTGGCGACTAAACAACAGCAGCACTTGAGAGTAACACAATATTGTAAATCAGCTTATACTTCAATTTAAAGAAAGAAACTGACTACCATGCCAGGCAAAGAAGAACTCTTTGCACACCGAGGGTGGGCTGCAGAGGAGAGGGCTAACGTGCTGTAAATGCTAAGTTATTGAGGGTCAGAGGGCCCTGGTGGCTGGTTTAGGTAAGTTTCTGAGGTGAAGAACAACGAATAGGATTTCTGCTTAGACATGTTAAAAATGAACCCATTTCTCAGATTATAAAAGTTATGCTGTATGTACTGGTTCCCTGTCACCGTGTAACAAGTCATCCCAGAGCTTAGTGGCTTAAAACAACAATTATTTTATTATCTTTGACAGACCCATGGATAGTGAGATTGAGCCAGGTTCCGTGGGCAGTTCCAGCTTGGGGTCACTCAACCTCTGCAGTCAGATGATGGTTAGAACTGGAAGAGCAGGGAGACTGAGGGGTGTTGGGACCTGATGGAGCATCTCTCTATTTTCATGGAGCCTCAAGACTTTCCGTGTGGTTCCTTTTTTTTTGTATCCACACAAAGAAACATTTATTAGGCATCAACCATGGACCAAAAACAGTGTTAAACAAATCCACTGATACCAACATTCAATTATCCCTATAAATTTCATTGTTGTGTATATGGTTGTCTCTTCCAGTTAAGTTAAAGAATGCTCAGAGAATCTTTTTAAATCTTAGAGGGGATTCTAGTTTTTAAGGTTAGCCATTACATATAAATATTAAAAGAATTCCCTAATGACTTAGTTGGTAAAGAATCCTCCTGCAGTGTGGGAGACCCTGGATCGATTCCTGGGTCAGGAAGATCCACTGCAGAAGGGATAGGTTACCCATTCCAGTATTCTTGGGCTTCCTTAGTGACTCAGTTGGTAAAGAATCCGCCTGCAATGCGGGAGACCCGGGTTCAATCTCTGGGTTGGGAATATCCCCTGAAGAAAGGA